TCAAAAGTGTGGCAACCATGGGAGGACTATGTGGACAGAATGGCGCAGACGCCATGAGACACACCAGCATAGCTGGGTGACGCATTGCCTCGCGTATGCGGTGGGCGCATCCAGTATGGCCCCGACCCCATCCCCTCAAGTCCCCCCCCTCTCCCATTTACCTTACAAACAAGTTCAGTATGGAGCTATAATTTCAACAGCCGATAGGAAGACACACTCTCTGAATAGCGGGCATCTCATGGGCAAGGGCAGTCCCCGCCAATACGGGAATAGCAAGGCCCCACAGCAGTAGAAAAACGCATATATACTGTATATAACGAGGTATAGGCTCGTCTGAGAAGGCCCTTTAACAGACCCGCGCAGACAACGTATGGTTAACATACATATTGATGTGTAATCAACTGTGGTATAGACCCAGACATACCGGGTCATCCTGAAAATGGGCAAAATCAGAGGAGTGTAGTGCTTGATAATTCCATATGAGGCGTTATGTTACCGAAAGGATATCTGGGTATTTCGATACCATGGTATTGTAAAGATGACACGATACATGTATGATATGTGATGCTCCATGCCTGAATTCAAAAATCAAGAATAAAAAAAAAAGAAAAAGATTCCAATACAGCAAAAAGAGGCGTTCTTGAGAATCCACTTTGATTGCTGTATCAACATAACATTTACTATAACGGGATCCATGTCACTTAAGACAATGTCTTGGAAATGCTGTCAATTAATTGATTCCGTAAAAGAATATCGGAGAGTATCCAATCTATACACATCATAAACGGTGTAAAAATGTTTCATGAAAAAAAAAAAAAAAAAGCAAAGACAAAGAAAAATACCAACACCATCACCACGGTGATAACAGATGATGCTGACTCAATATCTGCGACCAATTCTAGCCAAATATTTGGAAAGCTGGACTCTACAACCTATACTCTACAACAAATACCCGGGTATTCTACAAACACAACCTACAGCAATGTATCTAAGGAATGTAAACTTCTACAGGTCTTTAAAGTCTTTGGATTACAAATACAATTACTACTTTTAACTTTGGATTACAATTTGTATCCGGAATCCATCCAAGAATATCTTACTCTGGAACTTGGTGTTCTTTTCAATTCTTTCCCAGACAAAAGCTTTGCTCATTTTAATCAACCATCTTTACAGGCAAAGATCACACTACGGATGTTACAACAATGATCAAAGATGCTGGGAGCACAAAAAAAACCTAAAGACTGTTGGAGAACTTTGGTTTACTAATTTAAGGAAGAAATGGTCTACAATGCCCACAGTTTAATGGAGAGGGTGTTATGGGCAAATGCAAATATTACAAGTTTTAGAATGAAATGTTGTATTTCTTAAACTGTGTACTTTGTCTTTAAGAGATATTGCAAATTGACAAGGTGTTAGAAATGGAACATATTGTTTTTCATAGATGTTTCTTTAAGCAATAACCTCAGTGCATAATATGTTTGCGCCATTTTGTCCCAGACAAATTACAATAACAATAATGCATAAACAAGCTTCAAGGCTATACTACGACTCTTGCAGTACACAATATACTGTGGTAACCCCAAGTTAATGGAACTTCCCCAAATCCGGGAATCTCCCACGACTGTACACTTACGACTTAGTATAAACAACAGATAACCTATTCAGACTTTAAGATGCCATCTTGAACTAAGTCAGGAAAATTTCCATGACGTTTGCACCCTTTAGTTATGGCCTTGTATGTTTGCCAAATTAAGGTAGGTCCTAAAATAAATAAAGTAAATGAACTACGGTAACCCTAAAATGGAGACACCTAAGGTATAAATAGGTGTACTTTTAAATGTTAAGACACAGAGGAGAGACTTGGAGACAGACGCTGCTCCATCTTAAAATGACAGAGAGGCTGACATGATGACATGTTCAGAAGGGTATGTTAACCTATTAATGATATTTGCAAGCATTTAATTTAATCTTAGAAACTCTGCTATAATGGATTTTATATTTTTATATAATAAATATCCAAAAAGCAATCTTGCTTCCAAGACAATCCTTATTTTATATTGTATTCTCAATTATGTATATATGTTAAATAGAGGATCTCTTACACTATATAAAATTATGGCTAAGATATCTGTATGGTTAGCCCTACTAAGTTCTATGCTTTAAGACATTAGAGTGGTAAATAAGGGAACCACCCACGGTTACAAAACCTTGATGTTGGATCTGAGCGTTAATCTCTGAGAAAGAGGGAGGTACGTTCTGTTTCCACTCTCTGGCCATACAAAGTTTAACAGCCATCAGTATGTGTATGGTCAGAAATTGAGATGGTTTATTCATTTTTGGCAGGTCTAGATGGAGACAAAATCACATTAAATATTATATCAGCAAAGAGTTTACATACTCCTAATTTAAGAGTGTCCAAACCGTTACAATCCCACCGAATGTGTTTAAGTGAACCGCGTGTGTTATTACAGCACCAGCAAACATTGGAGGAGTTTGTTTGAAATGTGCATATTTTTGTGGGGACTATGGACAAGTTTAAGAAATGTTTCTTGTAAATGTATACAGTGAATCGTTTTCCTTAGTGTTTTGAATGAATCCTGACAGGAAAAAGATTTATCTAACTCAGTTTCCCATTTGATGACAGTATTATGTTTAACTTCCTGGTTTAATGCCTCTAGAGTTCTTCTAACTACCGAATAATTATTATTAGCCTCTCCAAAGAGAATTTTATCTAAGGTTGAATCCTTAATTATAGATGTCTAGAAGAGAAAATCGCATATTCTTAGATAAGTAGAATACTCTTTATTAGTGATGTCCCGAACGGTTCGCTGGCGAATAGTTCCTGGCGAACATAGTGTGTTAACGTTCGCCGCATACGGCGAACATATGCGATGTTCGGTCCGCCCCCTATTAATTTACTAATACTAACAAAAAATTACTTAGTATTAGTAAATTGTGCCCCTACTCGCAATACCCCCTAAATACTAATAGGGGGGGGGTCCCTAAAAATACACAGATTTTATTTGGGGGGAAGGGGTGACTAGGGTCCCCCCCCCTTTGTATTTAGGGCCCCCACCCACCGCTCAGGGGTGGGGGACGGAGGGGGGACAATAGGTCCCCCCGTTGTTAATTTAATTTTAATTTTACAAAATATTTTTTTCCAAGCTGTTTCATAGTCCTATTTCTTATCTTTGATGAAAGTATTGTACTGGGAGTTAAAGAAAATCGGTCTATAAAAATATTTAATTGTTTACCATAATTACCACTTTATCATAGAAAAACAGACAATACTTTCATCAAAGATAAGAGATAGGACTATGAAACAGCATGGTGATTGAGCAAAATATTTATTTTGTGTGCTTTAATTCCCTTCATTATAAAAATTGTATATACGCATGCTTTTTGTTTGCCTTGCAAAATTACTTTGTCCATAAAGCATAACTCTCCCAGCATAGGCATTTGTAGGGCCAGTTGGGCTGCTCCTTGCTGGGGAGAACCCCACAAATGCTGGACACCCTCTAGGGTTTCTTCCCACATCTCCTGTCGGGCATCCTCTCTGCATGCCAACCTGGTTGACTCTGCTATAAGCTTATCCAGTGGGGCCAAGATGCTCTGTAACCTCTGGTTAAACTCATCTTCCACCTCGAGCGCTGTGCATGGACACGCTGGATCTATACCGCTCCATAATACTTCCCGATGTCTCCAGGGTTCTGTTCCTCTCACACCAGGACGCCATCCCACTGCTGCCACCAATGTAACGGATCACCTGGCACCCCGACTGGGTACCTCCGTTGATGGATGCTCCTAGCACTTCTTGAGGATTCCAAGCACTGCAGCAGACACCACAACCACAGAACCGGAGAAGCATACAAATGCTATCAAGCATATGAATGCTGTAATCAGCTTACACTCCTGGCAATCAGCATACAATTCCACAATAACGAGACGACACTTCGTTTTGAGGTCAAGCAGAACTGTCTAAAACTTTTACTTGGGACTAGCCCATATGGTTATTACATTATCATTGTAAATAAAATTACAAACTGTCAAATCATAGCAGGCAACATACAGTGACTTATTATAACATAATTACATATTTATAAATGGGTGGGGAAGACCATAATTAACACAAAATGTCTCTCCTGCATGCAGAATGAGCGATATGCAGATCTACCCAAATATGCAAATGACCAGTCTTGCTATTCAGGTAGTGCATATTACTGTTGCTACCAACAGAGGGCACTACACAAGCTCCATAGCCAAATCCACCTAGTTGGTAGCAATCCTCAGTAGTACAGGAGAGCAAGCAATACATCCCAGGGGCCATAGTCACATGGCAGGAGGCTGGCAATCAGTCTTCTCCAATGCCCAGTGGCGAGGCTGGATCCGCCACATATGGTAAACAATAAATAATTGTTATAGACTGATTTTCTTTAACTCCCAGTACATTTTCACATTTCAGGTCAAACCAGGTATCTAGTAAAATGTCAATATCACAACATTTGTAGTATAAGTGGTAGAGCAAGAGTGATATACAAAGATTAGTATATACATGGAACATCCTTCCAGTGAAAGTGGTAAAAACTAATAGTGGTATAGAAAAGGTAGTAGATACTTGACACAGCCTTCCACTGGCAGAGGTAGTGCTGCACGTGATATATACAGTGTGTGTTATTTGTTGCTCTAGCATAAATGTAGATATGTGAGGCTTTATGTCAATCAAATATCAAATTTTGCAAAGCAATTTAAAGTGAAGGGGGAGGTATGCTCACTTTATTTCTAGTGAAAGGGGTTTAAAGCACACACAATACTTTCTTTGCAATCACCATGACACCTGATGGTCATTTTTCTTATCTATAACAAAATTAGTGTCTGTTTTTCTAAGAATTGGCAAAAATTATTATGGCTGATTTCTTTTAACTCCCAGTATATTTCTTTCAGGTTTATGTGTCCGGAGAGGTTTTACTGAAATTGGTGACAAGAACAGAACTACATGAATCATGGCGACGAAGAACTCTCTTAATAACAGAACCAAGGAGTCTAACCCTGAAAAATCAAGCTTTTTCTCAGATTGCTATATGTTCTCAAAACAGATAGTAAACACAAAACTCACACCTTTTTCATGTTCTGAATGTGAAAAATGTTTTAGCCGTAAAGATACTCTTATTATACATCAGAGAACTCACACAGGAGAGAAGCCATTCTCATGTTCTGAATGTGGAAAATGCTTTGTCACTAATGCAAGGCTTGTTCGTCATCAGAGAACTCACACAGAAGACAAACCATTTTCATGTTCTGAATGTGAAAAATGTTTTAGCCGTAAAGATATTCTTATTATACATCAGAGAACTCACACAGGAGAGAAACCATTTTCATGTTCTGAATGTGGAAAATGTTTTGTCACTAATACAAGGCTTGTTCTTCATCAGAGAACTCACACAGAAGAGAAACCATTTTCATGTTATGAATGTGGAAAATGTTTTAGTAGTAAAGAAACTCTTGTTAAACATCAGAGAACTCACACAGGAGAGAAACCATTTGCTTGTTCTGAATGTGGAAAATTGTTAGGTAGTAAAGCAACTCTTGTTATACATCAGAGAACTCACACAGGAGAGAAACCGTTTGCATGTTCTGAATGTGAAAAATGTTTTATATGTAAACAAACTCTTGATAGACATGTTAAAACTCACACAGGAGAGAAACCGTTCTCATGTTCTGAATGTGAAAAATGTTTTGTCAATAAAACAAAGCTTGTCCTTCATCAGAGAATGCACACAGGAGAGAAACCGTTCTCATGTTCTGAATGTGGAAAATGTTTTAGGCAGTGTTCACAACTTGTTGGACATCAGAAAACTCACACAGAAGAGAAACCGTTCTCATGTTCTGAATGTGTAAAATGTTTTGTCAATAAATCAGAGCTTGTTTGTCATCAGAGAACTCACACAGGAGAGAAACCTTTCTCATGTTCTGAGTGTGCAAAATGTTATAGGTGGTACTCACATCTTGTTGAACATCGGCGAACTCACACAGGAGAGAAACCTTTCTCATGTTCTGAATGTGGAAAAAGTTTTAGGGATCACTCAAGTCTTGTTAGACATCAGAGAACTCACACAGGAGAGATCTCATGTTCAGAATGTGGAAAATGTTTTGTCACTAAAGCAAATCTTGTTTGTCATCAAAGAAATCACACAGAAGAGAAACCGTTCTCATATTCAGAATGTTAAAAAAAAAAAGTTTTAGGGATCACTCAAGTCTTGTTAAACATCAAAGAACTCACACAGGAGTGATCTCATGTTCAGAATGTGGAAAATGTTTTGTCACTAAAGCAGATCTTGTTTGTCATCAAAGAAATCACACAGAAGAGAAACCGTTCTCATGTTCAGAATGTTAAAAAAAAAGTTTTAGGGATCACTCAAGTCTTGTTAAACATCAGAGAACTCACACAGGAGAGATCTCATGTTCAGAATGTGGAAAATGTTTTGTCACTAAAGCATATCTTGTTTGTCATCAAAGAAATCACACAGAAGAGAAACCGTTCTCATGTTCAGAATGTTAAAAAAAAAGTTTTAGGGATCACTCAAGTCTTGTTAAACATCAAAGAACTCACACAGGAGTGATCTCATGTTCAGAATATGGAAAATGTTTTGTCACTAAAGCAGATCTTGTTTGTCATCAAAGAAATCACACAGAAGAGAAACCGTTCTCATGTTCAGAATGTTAAAAAAAAAGTTTTAGGGATCACTCAAGTCTTGTTAAACATCAAAGAACTCACACAGGAGTGATCTCATGTTCAGAATGTGGAAAATGTTTTGTCACTAAAGCAGATCTTGTTTGTCATCAAAGAAATCACACAGAAGAGAAACCGTTCTCATGTTCAGAATGTTAAAAAAAAAGTTTTAGGGATCACTCAAGTCTTGTTAAACATCAGAGAACTCACACAGGAGAGATCTCATGTTCAGAATGTGGAAAATGTTTTGTCACTAAATCAAATCTTGTTTGTTATCAAAGAAATCACACAGAAGAGAAACCGTTCTCATGTTCAGAATGTTAAAAAAAAAGTTTTAGGGATCACTCAAGTCTTGTTAAACATCAGAGAACTCACACAGGAGAGATCTCATGTTCAGAATGTGGAAAATGTTTTGTCACTAAAGCAGATCTTGTTTGTCATCAAAGAAATCACACAGAAGAGAAACCGTTCTCATGTTCAGAATGTTAAAAAAAAAGTTTTAGGGATCACTCAAGTCTTGTTAAACATCAGAACTCACACAGGAGAGATCTCATGTTCAGAATGTGGAAAATGTTTTGTCACTAAAGCAGATCTTGTTTGTCATCAAAGAAATCACACAGAAGAGAAACCGTTCTCATGTTCAGAATGTTAAAAAAAAAGTTTTAGGGATCACTCAAGTCTTGTTAAACATCAGAGAACTCACACAGGAGAGATCTCATGTTCAGAATGTGGAAAATGTTTTGTCACTAAAGCAATCTTGTTTGTCATCAAAGAAATCACACAGAAGAGAAACCGTTCTCATGTTCAGAATGTTAAAAAAAAGTTTTAGGGATCACTCAAGTCTTGTTAAACATCAAAGAACTCACACAGGAGTGATCTCATGTTCAGAATGTGGAAAATGTTTTGTCACTAAAGCAGATCTTGTTTGTCATCAAAGAAATCACACAGAAGAGAAACCGTTCTCATGTTCAGAATGTTAAAAAAAAAGTTTTAGGGATCACTCAAGTCTTGTTAAACATCAGAGAACTCACACAGGAGAGATCTCATGTTCAGAATGTGGAAAATGTTTTGTCACTAAAGCAGATCTTGTTTGTCATCAAAGAAATCACACAGAAGAGAAACCGTTCTCATGTTCAGAATGTTAAAAAAAAGTTTTAGGGATCACTCAAGTCTTGTTAAACATCAAAGAACTCACACAGGAGTGATCTCATGTTCAGAATGTGGAAAATGTTTTGTCACTAAAGCAGATCTTGTTTGTCATCAAAGAAATCACACAGAAGAGAAACCGTTCTCATGTTCAGAATGTTAAAAAAAAAGTTTTAGGGATCACTCAAGTCTTGTTAAACATCAGAGAACTCACACAGGAGAGATCTCATGTTCAGAATGTGGAAAATGTTTTGTCACTAAAGCAAATCTTGTTTGTCATCAAAGAAATCACACAGAAGAGAAACCGTTCTCATGTTCAGAATGTTAAAAAAAAAGTTTTAGGGATCACTCAAGTCTTGTTAAACATCAAAGAACTCACACAGGAGAGATCTCATGTTCAGAATGTGGAAAATGTTTTGTCACTAAAGCAGATCTTGTTTGTCATCAAAGAAATCACACAGAAGAGAAACCGTTCTCATGTTCAGAATGTTAAAAAAAAAGTTTTAGGGATCACTCAAGTCTTGTTAAACATCAAAGAACTCACACAGGAGTGATCTCATGTTCAGAATGTGGAAAATGTTTTGTCACTAAAGCAGATCTTGTTTGTCATCAAAGAAATCACACAGAAGAGAAACCGTTCTCATGTTCAGAATGTTAAAAAAAAGTTTTAGGGATCACTCAAGTCTTGTTAAACATCAGAGAACTCACACAGGAGAGATCTCATGTTCAGAATGTGGAAAATGTTTTGTCACTAAAGCAGATCTTGTTTGTCATCAAAGAAATCACACAGAAGAGAAACCGTTCTCATGTTCAGAATGTTAAAAAAAAAGTTTTAGGGATCACTCAAGTCTTGTTAAACATCAGAGAACTCACACAGGAGAGATCTTATGTTCAGAATGTGGAAAATGTTTTGTCACTAAAGCAGATCTTGTTTGTCATCAAAGAAATCACACAGAAGAGAAACCGTTCTCATGTTCAGAATGTTAAAAAAAAGTTTTAGGGATCACTCAAGTCTTGTTAAACATCAAAGAACTCACACAGGAGTGATCTCATGTTCAGAATGTGGAAAATGTTTTGTCACTAAAGCAGATCTTGTTTGTCATCAAAGAAATCAGACAGAAGAGAAACCGTTCTCATGTTCAGAATGTTAAAAAAAAAGTTTTAGGGATCACTCAAGTCTTGTTAAACATCAGAGAACTCACACAGGAGAGATCTTATGTTCAGAATGTGGAAAATGTTTTGTCACTAAAGCAGATCTTGTTTGTCATCAAAGAAATCACACAGAAGAGAAACCGTTCTCATGTTCAGAATGTTAAAAAAAAAGTTTTAGGGATCACTCAAGTCTTGTTAAACATCAAAGAACTCACACAGGAGTGATCTCATGTTCAGAATGTGGAAAATGTTTTGTCACTAAAGCAGATCTTGTTTGTCATCAAAGAAATCACACAGAAGAGAAACCGTTCTCATGTTCAGAATGTTAAAAAAAAAGTTTTAGGGATCACTCAAGTCTTGTTAAACATCAGAGAACTCACACAGGAGAGATCTCATGTTCAGAATGTGGAAAAGGTTTTCGCAATAAATCAGAGCTTGTTCATCATCAACGAACTCACATAGGCGAGGAATCGTTCTCACATTCTGAATATGGAAAATGTTTTGTCACTAAATCAGAGCTTCTTCGTCATCAGAGAACACACACAGGAGAGAAACCTGTCTCATGTTCGGAATGTGAAAAAAGTTTTAGGGTTCGCTCAAGTCTTGTTATACACCAGAGAACTCACACAGGAGAGAACCCTTTCTCATGTTCTGAATGTTAAAGAGATTTATCTGTTAAACCTAATCTCCAGGTGAGGAGTGTTTTAAGATTTTATAATGTATATGGATTAAAATAGGAATAAAATGTCTTGTATTGTGAATTTTTAACAAATAGTAACTGTGATAGTAGCAGTCAATGTACATATGATGCATTGGTATTGTGGCACCCCCATGCTATCATCCGGGGGTGCCTAATCTGTAACGCTAACTTTGCTCTACTTGGTAGCAGACTAACCGGCAACCAAGATACAACCTGGGATACATTGTGGTTGTATGTTCTGGTTGTTACAGAGTATACTAATTAGTCTGTTCCACTGGAAATACCAGGTATCTTGAATATGGTTCCTTAGCATGACTCAAGTTTGCATGGATTCCAACCAAGACCACAAAGAAACGACACAGGTTTCTGGCTGACGACTTGTAGGATCACTATTTCTTAGCTTCAGCTTTTATTAAAAACCACAGAACACACATGAAATGTATTTACAAATTATTAATACCAATGAGTAACATTTGGGATAGGAGACCAGACAGAGGAATACAATTAGGTTGAGCTAATTATTCCCCAGGGTCCTTTATTCTTATCCCAGGACACAATGTTACGGCACCCTCAGCATAAAAGGGTTAAACTGCTGTTTAGAAGATCTTCCCCTTCCAGAGATACAGGCACAGCTACTGCAGAACACCAAACTCCCGAACTGCATGTAAGGGAATGCTCCAAACTCCCGAACTGCATACAAAATAGCACTCCAAACTCCCGAACTGGAACCTCACGAATAGCTGCTAGCAGACGAATAGGAAAAGCACCCAAAAACAGAATGTTTATGTTCCTGACCCTATAGTGTTCCTTTAATCAGCATTCAAGAGAAGCATATTTGCGGCAATCCCACTCCCATTCCCCAACAACTGAATGATACACAGCTTTGGAAGTCAACTGATTTTTTTAGTGAGCCACAGCTGGCTTTTATACAATTCCCTGTGCACGGGGTTTCTTTAATTACATTCCAGGGGTTTTACACTCCTAGCAATCAGTCTCTATTAGCATACAGTAAATCCCCCCAAGAACGAGACAGAGCTCTGTGTTGAGTGGTCTGTTTTAATGAGGGCTACCTGCCCAGTATTTATGCAGGTCTCCCACCTGGTGGACACTCCCCTAGGGGACCAAATGGAATGCCATTTGTGTGAAGTTTAGACCAAATGGAAGACTGGGACACAAATGGTACAAGGACCAATCACAGGCAGACAGGGTTAAAACACTCCCCCAATACATTACAATTCCTCCCCTCTATCCTGGAGATAATTGGGAAGTAATCCAATTATCTCCAAGGACAGAGGCAAAACTCCATTATTCACATGGTTACAGTAAAACATTAAAATACAATAAAATGTACAATATTACATTTATCACACAAAATATATACATGTAACCCATCCCCAGATAGCTGGGATCTGAGCGCACAAAAGTACCGAATAGCGCTCAGATCCTATGCACACAGTCCAACCGCCGTGGAGTTAAAGTGTTCACAAAGTCTGTTCTCCATACGAATAGACTCCACGGGATGGCTATCTGGGGTAATGCTGTTCATATGGTTTAAACTACCGAATGAACAGTCATCCGGTTAAATGCCTGAATGCAGAAGCAAGGAGGCTGACGGCTCAGTGGTGTTCGCGCAAATAATTGTCCATTTACAGTTCCATGGTTTGGGCGCTGAACACCGCTGGCCATTCAGGACTTTAAAATGGCCGCCGCCACGTGTTCGGCAACCGAACAAAGGCCACCCAGCATTCGTCAGTTAAGCTGCGGTTAAGCGCAGCTTCTGGGAGGTAAATTGCCAGCACACTCCAGCTCCCAGGTGGTCCAGTCATTTGTGCGTTAATTCGGTAGATTGAATCTACCGACCGCCGGGTTGAAAGGCATGAATAAGCCTTTTCTGCCAGGGAAAAGGCTTTTAACATGGGGCCATAGTCCAAAGGCAACAGGCGAGCAACCAGGCTTCTCCAATGCAATGTGGCAAGATTGGTCTCGTCACACATAATATGTCACAATGTCAGCAGACCTGTGTCTATTATGAGGCAAACAGCATGCAGAGCTACAGCTTCAGGCTTGTATACAAGTACGATTTTGCTATATTTAGGAAGGCATGATTGACCCGGGAGGGCTAGATAATTGTTTTAACACTATAGGGTCAGGAATACATGTTTTTGTTCCTGACCTTATAGTGTTCCTTTAATCAGCATTCAAGAGAAGCATATTTGCGGCAATCCCACTCCCATTCCCCAACAACTGAATGATACACAGCTTTGGGAGTCAACTGATTTTTTTAGTGAGCCACAGCTGGCTTTTATACAATTCCCTGTGCAGGGGGTTTCTTTAATTACATTCCAGGGGTTTTCCCCTCGTTGACCTTGTGGGGGACAGGCAACAGACACACATTTCCCAGACTCCTTTTCTGTACTTGGAAGATAATTGCATAAGGACAATTCTTCAATTAGATTATCTCCCAAGTAAAGAAACTTAAACAATATTTTAAAACATCATAACTCCCATAATATTAATCAGAACTCCACCGAATAGCAGGGATCTGAGCACCCAATCTGTCAAAACACCACTCAGATTCATTTGGTAGAACAGGAACGCCATTTGTGTGAAGTTTAGACCGGTCAACTGCAAGGCGAAGCCCCAAAACAGTTTCATGGGGTTGTATGCTTTGACCAGTCTTCTTTCGGGAGTTTTCACTATTAAAATAACAAATATGAATGTTCATGAATTGGGTAGTCGTGTGCCTGCTATTCACTCGTTCAATTCAATCGAAGGGAAATAAACATACAAACAGGATGGAAGTACAACGGTGTTCACATGGTCGAGTGTCCGATTATAGTTCCACGTACTCGACGACCAGACACTGCTGCGCATTCGGTCATACGAATGTCAGCCACCCATTCGACCATTTAGAACCTTGTGGTTTTCTGGTGTTACAATAGTCAATTGGATGCACATGACTCCCATGGGTGGTCTCCCTGTTCAGTGGTTGGTTTGACTGACGAACAATATATCCATATTCTGTTCTGCAACCTCAAATAGTCGAATCAACATAGTCTCTCATACAAATAAGTGGCTAGTTTTATAGTTCTTGATCAAATGGATTGTTTTTTTTCCTGTATAATAACAGAGGGTCTTCAGACTGCAACAAATAATAGTAGATAATCATATATAGATATTATTATCTAATATTTCTTACTTTGTGTAGTCTGTTTTTTTTTGTTTTTTTTCTTGTTCCTCTTGGGTTATTACAGTATCAAAGTAACAGACCTTATGCTGCTGCCTTTGGAGTTAACGCTCCTTCTTTATTTTTCCCGCTGTTATTATAACCTTTGACCCGTCATTGCAGGCCAGACTCCCATGTGTGTTAAGAAGGGCCTCTTTCTGAAAGTATTCATTTAAACATATATAATAACATCATTTGTGTAAATTATATTTTACCCCTCAAGTATTACTATTTTTCTAACATATGGCTTTTATCATAGATTGGATGGCATTAAGCCACAATCATTTTTACAAGTATTTGAAAGAATCAAATAACCTTATCCGTATGAATATAAAACATTAGAGAAATTTGGGATACGGCTGTTAATCTAAAACAAACAAAAAACATACATAGTGAAATACAGTTTTAAAAGGACCAAATTGTATCAATATAATGCACTCACAAACTTCCGTGAGAATAGCGCTCTAGGGTGCCTCCCCCGATTGCAATGGGGGGCTAAATAATCCCTTCTGTTGTTCACCGTTGAATACACTATGCAGGACTCCAGTGATGGTGAAAAAAATATAGCAGCTTTATTAATAATGTGGTCCTACGCATTTCGTTCAAACATGTGAACTTCCTCAGGGACCATAAAATAAAAGCAATAACAGTAACAATAAAAAAGCAGCCTAATTGCCCCATCCCCGTAGTCCCGATATATAGGGCTACTTCCTGTGTCCATAATGAAATTCATGGGTGTCTTCTTGTTTCCCGGTCTTCATTGGTCCGGTCAGATTTCTTCCTCAGCTGTTCGGGATTATCTTCTTATTTCCAATTAGAGAAAACCGTGTTCGTATCAGTTAAACCAGAACCGGAAGTGAGGTCAATCACATGCTTCCGCGTTCCACCATGCGTGTCACCACTAAAGGTGGTGTAACATCCGGGCGGTGCCTTCTGGTGGTCGCCAGGAGAATAGTCCCATAATGTTGATAGTAAGTGTACCTGTCTAAGATCAAAAGAAATCAGCAGCAACAGAGTATAGCCGGTATAATACAACCCCATGTGTATGGGGAATTGATAGAGCATATTTTATCGAATATTAGTCCTTTTAGTCATCAAATAAATCTTTATGTGGAAAATTTCAATGTTTAAACAATTCAATATCAATACAAATGTTTGTTGAAGATGTTGTTAAAAAGTTAAAAGGAAATAAATAAAAATATAAAGTATGTACACATGTCTGTATTTTAATCATGATGTACACTATATCAGCGTATGGATATTAATATGCATCAAAATTAGCAACAATCAATATAGCCACCAGCTATTTAATTGAGAAATATGGTGGAACGCGGAAGCCTGTGATTGACGTCACTTGTGAGTGCATTATATTGATACAATTTAGTCCTTTTAAAACTGTATTTCACTATGTATGTTTTTTGTTTGTTTTAGATTAACAGCCATATCCCACATTTCTCTGTTGTTTTATATTCTTGCTGTGTAAAGGTCACTTTTTCTGGGTAGTGACCTGGGAGGCTGTCGCATTATATCTTTGAGATAAGTATTAACTTTTTTCCCTTTTGGGGGTATATTTAGTGTCTATATTCTGTTTTTCAACCTTATCCATATGCCTCCTGCTTAACTGAATTCTTAGAGATGTAAAAGCTTTTTGCCGATAAATATCCACCAAGCCAAACTGATTTGATTATTGAAACTCTGATGTGATGTCCTGTCTCCTGCCCCCACGCCACGCAGTGACTTTGTTTACCTCATTACAGCGAGTCATC